GACCCGAGAAGGAAGGAGCGGGTAAAGATGGTGGACGGCCTCATCACGCTCTCTGGTGCACCCGTGTCAGTAGACGAGTATTTTAGCGGTTTGGACCGATGTGGCATCATCTGGTGGTCGTTCAGGTCATCTTCAGCACTTTGGAAGATCCATCACCGCACGAGACTCGGTCCATTTCTCATCTTGGTTTTAGTTTAAAACTCTGGCACGAAGGGCGGCGGACGACGTGCATGCTCAAAAAGAATAAAAGATCTTTCCTGCTGCACGACGGTCAGATGATCCCACATCGTTACTTTAACAGCTGACGGTCAGATGATCCCACAGGCACTTCCAGAACATGTCCCCCCACAACACTTTCACTTCGAGTCACGTTGTCAGACAAAAACTTTATTCAGCGATTAATAATTACACAGACCACATCTGGAACATTGCAGGAAGTTCTTTTTAACGAGGGCGCTCATTCAACTGTTGAGAACCTCGGCTTGTAGGTCCCAGCCTTGATCTGCTCCTCCATCTGCTCCTGGAGAACAGAAGATAAACAGCTGATCGGTTTCCATAGCAACAAAGATATCGCCCTCTTCACCTTCCAGACGATTTTGTGTTTTTCACATGTCAGGACATTTAGAAACTGAAACGCTTGTTCATGTCGCCTCATACCCTGCTCCATTTGAAGAGGTAGTAGAAACCAAAGACGGGCACGACGCTAAACATGAAACCAAGCAGAGACGTCTTCGGCGTGGCTCTGAAGTTTGGGTACACGTTGGTTTTTGCATACACCCACTGTGATATGGCAGGATCGTCCTGTAAAGACAGAGCACACACCATGTGTCAGTTACTGCTGTGCACGTAAAAAATAAATATACGTTACAATAAAGTGGAAAACATTAGTGCAGCTAGAAAAACTCATTGGACCAATCAGTGATCACTGCACAACAAAATTAAACAGTTTCCACCAAACTGTGCCTTGCACTTTATAAACTTCATACATGTGCCTAGGCTCCACTTAAGGGATTTTAAACTTAAAGTCTTCAGCTGATTTGTTCTGTGGGAATGCAACCAAAAGCAAGAACTGCTCCAGAACATACCCAGCTCCAGGACTCGCCTTGCAACACACAATGACGCGTTAAAATACAAGTAACGAACCCGCAGCGGTACTGGATAAATACAAGTAACGAACCCGCAGCAGTACTGGATAAATACAAGTAACGAACCCGCAGCGGTACTG